AGCTACATGCAATGACTCAAAGAAAAACATGAATTGGTCTCAGGCAAAAAAAAAAAAGAATTCCTAGAAAAGCTCAAAAAAAATTTTAAAAATCATATAAGAGAGATAGAGGAAAAACCAGGGGGAAAAATGAGAGAAGCACAAAAGTCATGAAAAAAGAGGCAACAACTTGGTAAAGGAGTCACAGAGGGAATTGATCGTAAAGGGTTTGGATGATAGAGGAGGTTTGGAAGAAAAGGGAGTCAAAGACAGAAGCAAAGAAGACATAATCACAATTTTCAAAATTCCCATTGGAGAAAGCAGGCTCATTATAGCACTCTTGGTGAAGGTGTGAATTAGTATAAATATTCTGGAAAGCAATTTGTAATTAGGCTATAAAAATGACTAAAATATTTATACCCATTTGACCTGAGGGTCAAAGCTTATTGCTAAGCAAGTAATCTTGACAGAATGAGCTACTCTACATATATGTAAATTCATTGCAGCACTCTTTGTGAATGTCAAATATTTGGAAACAAAGTAGGTATTATCATTTGTGTGGAATGACTAAACAAAATTTAGCCATCAAAGTAATAGAATATTATTGTTCCACAAGAGATAGGAAATATTAAGAATTCCAAAAATATGGGAAAGAATATAAACTCATAAAAAAAAATCAAGTAAACAGAACCAGTAAAACAATATACATTAGAATTACAACGATGTAAAAGGAAAGAACAAAGACATGAAGATGAATACTGGATAATTTTAATTACTGTTGAAGGAATATATATATACTTCACTGCCAAATTCGAAACATTAACTCTAACTACAAGGATATAACTATTCGGGGAAACAATTTGGAATTACTCAAGAAGAGTTAACCAAATTATTCCTATCCATTAACGAAGATTTATCATTGATTTTATTTTTTTTAATGCTGATAATTTTCCTAATATTGAACCAGCCCTGCATTCTTGGTATAAATCCTACCTGATCATAGTGTATTATTCTCATGATAAGTTGCTGTAATCTTTTTGCTAATATTTTATTTAAAATTTTTACTTCTATACTCATTAGGGAAACTGGTCTTCAATTTTCTTTCTCTGTTTTGGCTCTTCCTGGTTTAGGTATCAGTATTATTTGTATCACAAAAAGAATTTGGTAGGACTCCTTCTTTGCCTATTTTCCCAAACAGTTTATATAGTATTGAAATTAATTGTTCTTTAAATGTTTGGTAGAATTCACTTGTAAATTCATCTGGCCATGGAGATTTTTTCCTAGGGAGTTCATTGATGGCTTGTTCAATTTCTTTTTCTGAAATGGGGTTAAGTATTTTATTTCCTCTTCTGTTAATCTAGGCAATTTATATTTTTGTAAGTATTCATCCATTTCACTAAGATTGTCAAATTTATTGGCATATAATTAGGCAAAATAGCGCCTAATTTCTGTTTTAATTTCCTCTTCATTGGTGATAAATTCACCCTTTTCATTTTTGATACTGGTAATTTGGCTTTCTTTTTTTTAATCAAATTAACCAAAAGTTTATCTATTTTATTGCTTTTTTTCCATGAAACCAGCTCTTAGTTTTATTTATTAGTTCAATAGTTTCCTTGATTTCAATTTTATTAAGCTCTCCTTTGGTTTTCAGTATTTCTAATTTGATATTTAATTGGAGATTTTAATTTGTTCTTTTTCTAGCTTTTTTAATTGCATGCCCAATTCATTGATCTCCTTCATCATTTATTTTACACCCTAAGGAAATTGTTGACAACAAGAAATGAACAAAAATGTTGAGTGGAGAGTTCAGGCATAAGAAACAGCTAGTGAAAATTCATTCAATCATAGGATGAAAGATTATGCTAAGAACTGCAAAGAAGGAGGCCAGTGACACTAGATTGAAGAATAAGGGAAGGATGTAAGTAAGGGATAAGAAAACTGGAAAAGTAAAAACATGGCAGTTTATAAAGAGATTTAAGAAGCAGATTTTATTGATAGTAATTGGTAGCCCAAGATACTGTTGTTAAATTATTTGCTTAGGAACATTCAACTAAGCTTTATTTGATTACATTTTGCAAAATTTCTTTCAATTTGAAGAAAGATCCGGTGTCTCCCACTAAGTGCTTTATACTTAGGCACTACTTTTTAAAAAATGTATTGATTTATGAGACTTAAGAATTCTGATTAATGCAATGAATTACATATGCAGAATCATATACTCGTTTTCGAATGTGATCAATGTCCAAAAGTGTTTTATTTGACTGCATAATTGTTAAAGGTTGGTTTTTTTCCCCCAGCAGGAGAGAGAAAATAAATGCTGGTAAATTGAAAAATAAATAGATAGATAGGTAGATAGATTAGATAAAATAGATAAGTGATGGTAACTTGAATTTACATAAGTTTATAGAATATTTTAATATATTATTTCATTTTGTTCTCTCAACTATACTGTGAAATGGGTAATTCAAACTTCATTATTTCCATTTTACACATCTAGTATATAGGAAAAATCAATCAGTAAGCATTTATTAGGACTTACTATGGGCCAAACAAGGAGAAAAGCAATGGGGACACAAAGAAAGATAAAAATATGGTCCCTGCCCTCAAGGAGCTCATATTCTAAGGGGGGGGGGCGGAATTAGCACAATTTTGTACATACAAGAAAGCTACAGAGTAAGATATCCATAATCTCAAAGCAAAGGCATTAGCAGTGAGGGCGAAAGAAGAAGAAACCAGGAAAGGCTTCTTGCAGATGGGGGGGGAGGGGTTTGAACTAAGTTTTCCAAAAAGCCAGGAAATCCAGGAGGTGGAGGTGAAGGTGAAAAGAGATGGAATTTCAGACACTGGAGAAAGCCAGTGAAAAGGCATGTGGCTGGGAGGTACCAAGCGTTGTGTGTAAGGAACAGCAAGGGGGGCAGTGTCTCAAGATCACAGAGAACACAAAGGGAAGTAAAGTGAGTAAAGTATAAGACTGGAAAGGTAAGAAGAGGCCAAGTTGTGAAGGGCTTTAGAAGCCAAAAGGAGAATTTTATATTTGATTCTGGAGATAATCTGGAGCCATTAGAATTTATTACATGAGGATGGGGGCTATGATGTGGTCAGACCTATGCCTTGCAAAAATAACTTTGGGAGCTGAGTGGAAGAGAGACTGGAATGGGAAATGACCAACCAGAAAGCTACTGCAGTAGTTCAAGTGATGAGTGACTACCAATTTTAACCACAAACTGGATATATGGGGTAACAAAGTGAGAACAAGGAATCAAGCAGGTTGTGAGCCCCGGCTACCAGGAGTATTTCAGTGTCTTAGACTATCATAGGGAAGAGAGGAGGGCTTGTGAAGAAAGATGTTTTGGATATTTTGAGTTTGAGATGTCTACAGGATATCTGGTTCAAGAGGTCAAAGTAGGCATTTGGTGGTATGAGACCGGAGGTGAGGAAAAACATTAGGGCTGGATAAACAGATCTGAGAATGACCTATTAGAACTGATGAGATTACCAAGACAGACAGTTTAGAGGGAGAAGAGTACGTAGGACAGAACACAGTGAGCATGACCTAGAGAATGATGTAATAAGAGTCTAGGAAGCAGTGGTCTGAAAAGTAGGAGAACCAGATGAGGGCAGTGTTGAAGAAACCTAGAGAAGACAGTATTTCAAAGATTAGAGGAATTGGAACCATCCCAGGCTGCAATCATTAGAGGTTGGATGAGGGCTAAAAAGGTTTGGAAGACCACTGTAGTGAAAGGGTCTGCGAATCAGAACTCAAACTCTGACTCCAAATTCAGTTTTCTCTTCATACCATTTTGCTTTTAAAGAATTACTGTGATATGACAGCTGCCTTCTCCCTATAATCATATATCTTCCTTTTTCCTACACTCTTGCCCAGCTACTCTTCAACTACTTAACATCTTGAGTGGTCCCTGATTACCTTTGCACATTCCCTCCAAATTCCCTGAGTCAAATCCTGCCTTGCCCTCTCAGCCTATGCAGTTGTTGTCAATGAATATTCAACTACAGTGTAGATAGGTGGTCTATCACTTGGCCCCGGGAATCTGGATCAAAAGACAGAAAAGAATCTCTATTAGACATGAGATGCAGTGTGTTACAGCAGAATGAAAACACTGGATTTAAAGTCAGAAGGACTCTGGGGTCTCTTTTATTCACATGTTGTCTCCCCTATTAGACTGTAAGCTCCCTGAGGGCAGAGATTCTCTCTTTAGCTTTCTTTGAATTCCTGCCCACCTCTCCCCACTCCCCACCGCCCCCATCCACCTCCAACGGCTTAGCACTGTGCCTGGTACTTAAGAGGTGCTTAATAAATATTACTGACTGGCTGATTGGGTCTAGTCCCAACTCTAACACTTATAAGCTGTGTGCCTGTGGATAAGTCACTTTAAACTCTGAACCTCAGTTTCTCCTCAGGTGGAAATACTTGCACTACTTGCCTCAAAGGGTCTGAGACAATCACTGTATAATCATCATCATCATCATCATCATCACTATCGTTATTATTATTAAACCTTTATTAAAATGCATCAAAGGGAAAGGCTGGCTATAACATTTACAGTAACTTTGGAAATACTAAAGAGTTCATAATTTAGGTTGGTCACTAGCAAGCTGTGCAACCTGAGGTGCTTCTTTTTATCTCTCTGGACCGTTTTCACAACTTTAAAATGAAGGTCCGGACCAGATGGTCTCTACGGCCATTCCCAAGACTGAGTGACTATCTCATGCCATCCTTCCCCACTCTACCCCGTCTCCCCCAACACACGGCTCTCGAAGTAGGAACTCCTAGAGGAACGCCAACAAACTAAAATCACGGAATAAACCGCACCACCAGATGCCCATGGAAACCACCAAACACCCGCAGCAGGCTTGCAGGTCAGCCTGGCAGCAGGCGCTGTTGAGGCTTAAAGGCCCAGGTAAGGATTCAACCACCCTATAACCCGAAACTGGGCAAAGGGTGACTCCTTGCAGATGAAGGGAACAGCTAGAGGGAAGCCTGAAGGCACGTAGCCTCTCACCTTGTGAGAACCAGTCAGTCATGTAGTCCAAGACATACGTGGGATCCAATATGTTCTTTATGTGGTTTCCGAAAAACTCCAGGTTTCTCTTTTCCTCTGCCGTCATGTTGTTGTCAACTCTTTAGCACCCGAGGAAGCTCAAGCGTGAGGCTCCAAGCGCCCGCCAATCACGGGAACCAGGCGGTTCGCCCGGTGCTCAGACTCCTTTAAATGACTGAGGCAGGACGGGGAGGGATCCGGGCGTGGCAAGCTACCCGAACAGAGCGAGAGGGTGGTTCCTGCAAATGAGCTGATGGCCTGCCTCCCTATGAGCTGGAAGGGAAGCTCAACAGGGAAAGAGAAAATCGAAACTGCGACTAACTTTGAAGAAAAGAAACCTAGATTTGGCTCACTCAGCAAGCGCCAAGTGGAAAAAAACTTGGAAGGCATTTTAATCGGACAAGGATTTATTAAGCACCCATTAGACTTAATAAGTCAAAAACTGCCCCCTGTGTGACCTTGAACAAGACGGTAGTTTTAACCTCTCTGGGCCTCTTTTGTAAAATAAGGGGGTTGGGGGTAGCCTGTTTAAGCCTTTAAGAAAAAATCATCACTGTACAGTATCTGGCACGTAGTGAGTACTTAATAAAAGTCAGTTATTAATTAGATAATCTCTAAGGTCCCTACTTGCTCTAGATCAGAGGTTCTTAACCTGGAGTCTTCAAAATCAACTGGGTTTTTTTTTAATTTTGATAATCATATTTCAATATAATTGATTTCTTTCGTATCATATATTTTATTTTATACATTTAAAGACGTTACTCTAAGTAGGATTCATCAGACTACCAAAAAGGTCCATAACACAGATAATTGTTAAGAGTCCCTTTTCTGGATCCTCTATACTCAGAAGGGGATCAGTCCTTGCATTCAAAGAAGAGCACCAGGGAAGGCTTCATGAAAGAGGAAGCATTTGATCTGAGCCTGGAAGACAAAGATTCTGAGATGGAAGAGATGAAAATATAGCTTTAAATGTGCTTTCTTTTCCCCTGGGTCACTTTCTACCTTTCAACTTCCTGACAAGTTAGGAGAATCCTCCAGATTCTCTTTTGTTTCCTCCTTGAAGCACTTCCATTCTCTCAAAGAATAGATGATTCTCCACAATCCCCTGGGAAGCTGAGGTGTTCTTCAGCTTCTTTCAGGAAACAGACTGATCCTACACCTTACAGTTACCTAGCTATTTCTTGGCACTGGCAAAACCAACAGAGTACTTTCTCTGGAGGTCACTGCTGAATTCTCCCTGTCCACTACACCGTTGGGGATTTAATTTTTCAGATTTCTTCAGTAGTCAGCTATTGTGTTGGCTAATGCTAGCAGTGAACAGCTGGCCCAAGCTATCTGTCATGCACGTTTACTGAATACCGTAGTATTCAGTGAATTTTCCTGAGAGGTTTTATTGGGGGGGGGAAACACACACACAAACAAAAAACTTCCTGATTTGCTATGGATGCTACTTAGCTGCAGATGATTGGTAATTATCAGGTCATGCAAAGCCCTAGCACAAACCCACCGCCCATGACCTAAGTAAACTGTCCTGTCCTTTCCCCCTTCTCAAATTCCCATTGAGAAATGACATGCTTATGAATGAATGAAAAGGCATTTATTAAGAACTTATTGTCTCAAGTACTATGTTAAACACTGGGAATACAAATAGAAAAGCTAGACAATCCCTGCTCTCAAGGAGTTTACAATCTAATTGGTGGAGAGGACACATAAAGGAAGGTTCAATTGAAGGGCAGATGGCCATACCTAGGTGTGAAGAACAGAGTAACAGGACAAATGGTAAAGCCCAGGGGCCCTTTTCATAATCAGTGTGACAGTGAGGTCTGCTGGTCCATCTTATCAGAATTGTAGTTAGTGACTCCCAAATTGGTATAAGGGACCATGTCCGCCCTGAAACCATTAGCTTGATTCATGGCTATCAGGAACATGTTAGTGGGTGGGTATATTGGGGTGAGTTCCAAAGCTGCCATCTCCCCAGGTTCCAGAAGTAACTACCACGCTCAACCCTCTGGGCAAGTCAATTCAATTTTAACAAGCACTAACACACCTACAATGTGTCAGGCACTGCAGATTCAAATAGCAAAAATGAAAAACAGTACCTACTTTCAAGTTTACATTGTACTGGGGTAGGGGACAACATGTACACAGGTAAGGAAATACAAAATATTTACAAAGTTTTACTTACATACAAAGTGATAGGGGCCAGTGGAAGAGCAGTGACAACCAGGAACATCAAAGAAAAGCCTGTATAATAGGATTGGCAACTGAGCAGAGAATGAAAGCAAGCTGGGGATTCCAAAAGGTAGAGATGAGGGAAGAAAACATTCCAGGGTAGGGGACAGATTGTGCAAAGGCAAGAAAGCAGGCGATGGAATATTTTATATAATCAACAGAAACAGATGAGTTTCACTTTATTTAAAATGTATGTTAAGAGTGGCAAGATGAAATAAGTTTGGAAAGCCAAGCTGTGAAGAGCTTTGGCTTTAATTGCCAAAAAGAGGAACTTAAATTTTAACCTAGCAGTAGGGAGCTACTAAAGTAGAGGTTTGACATTGTAAGACATGTTCCTTAGGAATATCAATTTAACAAGCTGTGTGAAAGATGGTGAAGAGAAACTGGAGAATGAGACCAATTAGGAGAATGTACAATGATGAAGGCAAGGTGATAAGGGCCTGAACTTGGATGGTGGCCATGTGAGGGGTCAGATGTGAGACTATGGAGGTAGCATCAACTTGGCAACTGATTGGAGATGAATCATGAGAGACAAGGAAGAATTGAGGATGACTTCAAGGTTGAAAGTCTGGGAAAAGCCCATAATAGAAATATGGAAATTGAAAGTGTGTTTTGGGTAAAAAGTTGTTTTTGACATGTTGTAAATGGAGAAGACAGGATATGAGGGCAGGACAGAAAGGTGTGGGGGCTCATCTGCATTGGGATCATTGAACCCACTGGATTAAATCTTGTGTTCTTCTGCTTCTAGAAGCAGAGGTGACAAAGTGGGAGATAATGCCCCAAGGGGCACTAGAACCAACCAGGGCTGGGCCATAATAGCCTCAAGTACAGGGGGGCGGGTACTGAATAAAAATAAGGGGGCATTGGAAGCATAAGGAAAGAAAAATTTTAAAAATAGGTTCATACATGTTTCATCTGTTGTGTAACAAAGTTAAAAGTTGTAGTGATTACATTATTTTTCAGATAAACACACAAAATGCAAATTATAACCAATCAGTGGTCAAGTCCTCCAACAGGTCCTAAAAAGTATTGGCAGGCCATCGGTGTTGTGCATTGTCAGGCAGTCCAGCATGCATAAGCAGGAACATGTGCATGTAATGACTTAACAATACCATACTATACTATACAGTTACATGGTGCAATATTGCATCACCAACATTTCAATGCAGGAAAAAACCCCACAAATTTACAATACATTATTAAAGATACTTCATTTTAAAAATATATTTTATATATTTTTTTGAAATGGTTCAAATTTTTTAAAAAACTGCCTAAGGGTTAAAGATTTCCAAGGGAGCGCTGATTTTTTTTTTAAAGGGGGCAGTAGGCCAAATAAGTTTGGGAACCTCTGCTAGAGGAAGGAAGCTGGTTAGTTGCATATAGCCTGGAGCCATTAAGACCCAAGTTCAAGTTCAGTTTCAGACACTTGCTAGTTGTGTGACCTGGGCAAGAATTTCCTCCTTGGTTTCAACTGTGACATACGGATAGCATCACCTACTTCCCAGGACTGTTGTGAGCATCAGATGAGATATTTGTAAAGTGCTTGGCATAAACGTTATACTGTTTTTTTTTTCTTTCAAGCTAGCCCGCTATTGTGATTACAAGATATGTGAAGAAGGATTCTGCCCTAAAGCTAACCAGAGCATTATGTTTTTCCTTGAACCAAATCAGGAGACCTTGCTTTTTGTCCAAAGTTCTCCTTCCTCAAACTCAAGGATCTCATAAACCAATCTTCACCATCACAAACCTCACTCACCTTCATACACCTTCACCAGAAAGAATAGGGATTGGGTAGCAGAAGATAAAATTCAACCAGTTTTCGTGACAGCATAATTTATACAAGGGAGGTTTTTTTTCTTAAAGTTCTCATTTATATAGCATTTTATGGGCTGCAATTTTTTTTTCTGCCACAAACCCGAGGTATAGTGCAAAAGTTATCCCACTGTGGGTGGGGATTGGGGGAAAGAAGGCCTCGGGAATTTGATAGTGACACAGGACTGATTAAATTTGAAATCATCTTCGTCATCTTCATTGCCTAAGGTGGTCAACAGGTCCAACCTCTGGACCTTAATGGAGCTGGAACTTCCAGCTTTTCTGTTTTTGTACTTGGGTGACTAAGAAGCCAGTCAAAAGCCTGAGCCATTCTAGTCTCAAGGACAGTTTAAATAACTTATTTTGGGGAGTGGGAAGCAATTAGGATTAAATTACTTGGCCAGTGAGTAGGTATCTAAGGTCATATTTGAACTCAGGTCCTCCTCACTTAAAGAAAGGCCAGTGCTCTTTCCACTATGCTGACCCTTAATAACTTTAAAAGACTAGCTTAGCCCACATGGCGGGAGATGCTGGGGGAAATTTCTATTTCTATAATTCTAGCAAATAGTCAAGGTACAAACTCAAACCCAGTTCAAAACCAGTACTTGTTCCATTATAAGACAATGAAAGTCAATGTTTGTCAAGGAAAACTTGTTCCAGTTAAAATGAATTTGTGCATGACTTTTTCTGAGGGACAATAGTGTTGAAAAAGGATTAAATTTGTTGGTTGATTTAAGGTCAACATAACTAACATTAAAGTGGAACTCAGAAGATAGTGAAGTCCATCACTACAGGTTTTTAAGATGAGGCTACAAGACCACTACTCACGGATATCATAAAGGGGATTCTTGTTTCAGCTTGGACTAGAGGGCCCCATTCCTACTCTGAGATTCTATGATTGCGTAAATGGAGACAGTAACTGGCAGTCTCCATAATGTTACATGAATGGAAGAAGGAAAGTGTGTTGGATAATGATAAATAAAGCATTTGATGGAAAATATTGATTGGCAAAGAAATAGAAAATGAAAGTAGTCTTTAAATAAAAGGGCTAGGCCATCCTAGGGTGCTGGATTAGGAAAGAACCTTAGCAATTATCTAGGTCAGTAGTTTTCAGTGTAGTCCAGACC